AACTCAAGTATAAAGTTGAGTTAATATGGGCAGACTTTGAATAAACTGGTATTGCTTATAATTAGATTATGTATATAAATATGACACCTCTAACAATATTGTGGCTGTATCCTTTGCTATATACTCTCAGGGTGAGTCACAGCCCATCAGTGCCTCAGTCTTCCAGCATATACAATGGAAATAATAAATCATTTACTGATTCGTGAAGTTAAGGAAAAATTTAAATCTGCAACAAGAATGTTGCCCAGAATGTTGCAAATTTGTTTCTACTAATACAAAATTAAAACCTACAAAGTCATTTTGATGCCAACAATTCAAATGTAAACAATACACAACACTTTTACTCTGTATCTCTGAACATATGTGACTGTATGGCACAGTACAGTGCTACCTGGGATAAGATAATTTAAGTACAGGAAAGGCATAGTCTGTTAGCATAAGGAGCAGATTGAATTGAAATAACTATCAGCAGTTAATGCAAATACATTTCTTACAACTTGCTTTCTCTCTTGACTCTGAAGTTTGTGTAGACATGCTTTATATCCTTTTCTTCGCTGTAGTCATTCCAAAATTTTATTCTTGAGATGCCTCCACACTGCAAGGCTGGAGAGGGCCAGGGAGCACAGTGAGGATCCAGCTGTCTGCTCTGATTAATGATTAGCTCACTCCCTGTTTGGTGGTGTGGTTTTGGTTTTTTTTTTTTTTTTCCCCAGAAGGTCTCTTCAAGACAAGAGCTAGGCTTTGTTTTGGAAATAGTTTGTTCTGGAGGCAGTATGCACCATTTTTTTGGCTTTCACCATCCTTCAGCAGTTTCCCAACATGGGCATTTGGATTTTTGAACATGCACAACACACAGTGCTCACTTTCATGCTCTGAAAATGCCATATTGCTGAGTTACAACATAGTCTCCAGATTGTTTCAGATACTTTGAACTGAAACATACTCAACACTAATGTGTTAGGTGTGCAGGGCCAGATAGTGAGGCGCAAATCCCCACCAACAGATGCTGTGAGGTGTGGATGTGACCAGTTTGCAGTAAGAGGAGGTATTTCTAAGTTGTGTGCACGTGAGCCAGAAGATACCATTCATTTTGTATTTAGCAGTGCAAACCTTGGTTACTGTGGGTGCTTTTGACCCTGGGATGGGTTGGCTCCACTCCGCCACTCCACAACAGTTCGTCTGTCTTCTGTGTAGCCAGACCTTTGCTTTGGCTCATTTTTCTTTCTCTTGTTTTTCTCACTTTTCTTTCTTTACTCCTCTTACTGTTTATACCTTTACCCTCCCCTTCATTTTATTCCTCTCATCTTTCCTTTTCCCTCAAACACAGCTGACCTGAACAGACTTGATGCTGTGCTGGATCCCCTGGGTGGAGGAGGGCACAGTTTAAAAGCACATATTACATGTGCTGCCCGAGTCAACATGTATGTGTGCATATGTGTCTGCTGTCTGTATTCTCATTTCTAGCTCTGCTAAAAGACATTATTAATGCAGAGAGGAAAAGCAGATGGCTTTCAAGGAGATATCAGCTATTTAAAAAAAAAAACAGCAGCATTTTTGAACTTGGGAGTAAGATGGAGTTGATTATTGCCAGTTTTCCTATTCCCTCACTACTGCTGTTCCCTCCTGATTATTACAACTTTAAAAAAAAATAATTAACAGGAGCTTTCTGATTAATCCAAGTCCTCTTTCTTTGTATAAGGACAACCAAGATCCCTTTTCTAGTGCAGGAAGTGTTTGCTGGGGAGTGCTTAGCACTTGTATCAGTCTTGCGCTTAAAAACCTCCAACAGGCTCATCCTCCACTTTAATGTAAGTGCCCTGAAAAGGACAGAATTATTGCAATAGCAAATGGCAGTACTTTTTTTACATCACGTTCAGTGTACTCTGGCATTCATGTTCATTGATTGTAATGTGAGCATGTTACTCAGTAATTTGCTTTTCCGAGCAGCCGCAAACGTTAAACTCCAGAGGATTTCATGGCCTTGAGGTTAGTAGCTTCTTGGGAGCAGAACAAAGCAGAGTGTTAAACTGTATAGCAGATTTCATTTGTCAAGTTTTATTTTTGCCATGACAGAAAACTAGCAGAATTCTTTTTCCGTGGGTGTTTCTTTTGGTCTGGCTAAAACAGATTACTGACGATGGAAGAGCAAATTTCCATTCTTCTGCACATCTGCCAAATGTTCCTTCCCCGCCAAGAGAACCATGGTTCAGCCACAGACATAGTAGTGAACAGGATGAAGTGTGACAGGTCTTGAAATGTCTTTAGATGACAGAAGCTGGCTGTAATTCTACTTTTTTTTTTTTTTTTTTTTTTTTTAATAGGACTGTTTTGATTTTTGATGCTTGACTCTGGAAGCCATCAAGCAAACAAAAAGCTGACTGTGTCTTATGTTCGTGTCTATTCTATAGAGATATGTTGGAAAACTACATAATCTCTTAAATTTTTCCATTTAAGAAAATATAGAAATTATATAATCTCTATATAATCTCTTAAATTTTCTATATAAGAAAATAATTTAAAATAACTTAGATTTGGTTTCCTTTTTTCTCCTGGGAGCAAACAATAGTTCTGGATAGCCAATGAATACTTTGGGTAGAAAGCCTCATTTTACTGTTATTTTAACTAGGATTTTGTGATTTTTGTTTGTGACTTTGAAGTCTTGGGGTGGTGGGGAGAAGGAGAAAGCCAAAGCAGGAGCAGGAATGAAGGTCACATATTCTGACCTTTGTGCATTCTTATTCAGGGATGGCTGAATTAATAAAATTTGCTGGTCAGCAAATTATCGTGTACCTCACATAGTCTTTGAATACCAGTTGAGGTAAGAAAATGGGCAATAGTTGCAGAGAAACTTCAGTCAGATTCCTGATTACCTGGAACCTCAATAGTGCTAATGGATACTTTAAATTTTCTTCATTTTCAGAGGATTTCCATTAGTACTCATCTGAATTCAGTAGTAGCTGACTGTTCTATTGGCATGATATGGCTTGGTATTATTGTTATTTTTGGCATAAATATAAGCAAAGCCCACTGACAATACGGACTGGGTTAATTCAAATGCAAACTGGACCATCGAAAGATGAATCAGTTGTAATAATCAGTGTTTGAAAGATACAGTATAAAGTACAGCATCTGGAGCTGCAAATACATACAGAATAGTGAAAACTTTAGTTTTAACTGCAAATTAATATTTTTCTGAGGTAATGTAGTTTAGAATTCTAATATATTCTGGCAGAAAAGCTGTTGATGACAGAATTGTCTCATTTTAAATAATATGGGTGGCAGAAGCAGAGAAAAATGATACACTTAAGTGACACTTTCATTATTTTTAGGAAAAAAAAATCAGTGATGTACACTTCACTGAACTGTACATTTTATTCCCTGGGGAAGATTAGTTTGACCAGTCTGACCAGAAGCCGATAGGTGATTTTTTGGATGTTTGCCAATATGTATTCACAGCATGTAGCTGTATACTACATTTATTATCTGTGATTAAAATGTAACAACAAATTACAAAATAACTAAGCAAATGCTTTGTTTTGTCCAGAAAGTAATTAAAAAGTATCCTTTGCATTGCAGATAGAGCAAGGAAATGTGTAGAAATTCTGTAGCCAGAAAGAATAGATGAAAAGTCGTAGACTTGTACATTCAAAACCTGAGGCACGCTGCATTAACTTTTGTCCCGCTTGCACTTGTCCACTGAAAGTTCAGATGTGTGCAGGTTAAGTGTGTGTGTGTAAAAGCTTGGTGAATGGGGACACTGGAACTGAGATAATCTTGCCAGACTTCAGTCAGCTAAAGGATGCCTGGGTTTAAGACAAGTGTCTGGGCTCCTTTGATAATTAATGACTCGAAACAGGTACTTCTAGAGTGCAATCTCTTCCAAAGGGTGGCTGGTTAAGAGAGGTTGATAAATTAGCTATAGAGAGAACAATTAGCTGTTAGCTGAAGTTAGGTGAAATGAAAACCTCTCTCATCAGCTCTTCTGCATGTGAACAGCCTCGACAAATTGTGGTCTAACATATCCCTATCTTACTCCCATTGTCCTCACATGATGTTTGGACAATGCTGAATGTAGATATATCTGAATCTTTATGTGAGTCATATGCATTGTGCTAACAATATAAGCCACATATATACTTTCGAAGTCCAAGAATGTCTGAAAGAATTACAAATGCCACCCCAATGATGACTAACTTCTTCCACCATGGACCCTCCAGGGCTCAAGAACATAAGTTGTGAGTGGTATTTTCAGTTAAGATTGTTCTTGTGCTAATTGTTTTGTGTTCTGCAATCTCATGGCAGGATACAGTTTGTTACTGTCCTCTGTGGAGAAAGTAGACAACAGCAATTGAGGGTGGGCTCTGATTTTTGACATACTTAGTAAGTACATATCTGTACATTTGACAGGAATTAATAAAACACAATATTTTTACAGGTTTGTCCAGTAGGGAAATTTTGCTGTGATAATGAACCGTGCTATTTTAGAGCATATTTCCATAATAACATCACCTTACATTAATTAGCATAGTGCCAATGCAACTGTGTTACTATGTCAAAAGCTGTATATCTTTGCGAGATAATATTCCACTTATGACTGTATTCCATATGCACTATCTATTCTACATACTAGCAATGAATTGCTGCTCAGACTTTGCATTACCGGTAGTGCAAATAAAGGTGTTAAATCCAAAAAATGGTAGAAATGCACTTATAGGATAACTTGTAAAAATTTATAAGAATTAAAAAGCAAAATGTGACTACAGAACTGTTTGCCATTTCGTCAGCCTAAACCTTTGTATTAGTACATAGAGCTGTTAACAAGGTAATTTAAAATCAGGCCAGTGCTTTTAAATTAAATTAAAACTGTATGAATGGACACCAGAATAAAATAAATTTATGCCAGTCACACTCAGAGTGATTGTTCTTACATGCTGAAGGAGATAGAGTGATGGAAGAATATGCATTGCTCAGTGCTTTGTTTAACGTTTGCTTTTTTCCTCACAGTACAGTGCTGTGGATACAAATCCTTTATCTGTGTATATTATGCAGCCCATCTGGAATAAGATTATTAAGGTAAGAATTTTATTTAATAGAAATATCACCTGATAATGTAAGAATTTGCTTTAAAACCAACATCTATTTTCATATAAAAATAGCTATTGATTAATAAAGCTGAAATTAAGATATCTCCATAGAACAAAACAAATATTACAGGATATATAGCTATATTTAAGATTAATATGTTTGGATTTTGAGGTGGTTTTTTTTTAGTAAAACAAGGTGGTTTTTTTCTAATCGTTATACAAAAGACATCTAATTATTTTTTACATCTTTCATTAAACAGCTTTGCAGACATTGAAGGGTTTACTTAGTACAAATTATTTTTGTGCAGCATATGCTGCCTAACAACAGCATGGCTTTATCTCTGTGCTATGCACATGATTTTATGCAAGTGCTGTCTCATTTTCTCCCAAGGGTACTTGCTCAGGGGAGTGAGGCATTTCTCTAAGAAGCTGAAAATGAGAGCTGTTACCATGATCACCATAACGATTGGAAGATGGCATCTTTTGAATGCATTATGATCTGCAGTTTTTAAAAATAAAACTGCTCACAATTAGTTTTGCTGTTGTTGGCAAAAAAAAGGCTGTATCTCAAATAAATATGAACTTTATTGATCTCCAAGGAAGCAATGGCTTCTGCATCTGCCTCTTTAGAGGAAACCTTTAGATTGGAGCAGACTTGAAAACAAACCTTTATACAAACAAAAAAGGATGTACGCGGTCAGAGTGCTGTTGGATTTGCAATCTTTGGTTCTTTAATTCCGGTATTGCTTATGCTTGATGTAGCAGGAAAATCAGAGCCTCAATGTAATTTCATGAAAGTATTTATATGACCTAATTTAAGAATTAAAAACCAACCTGAACATGGTATGAGAGAAAAGCAATTCAAAGATATGAAATTGAATTCAATAATTCAGTTCAGAGATTCTGTTTTCATTCTCATCATAATATTGAGGAAAACAATGAGGCAGAAAAGCCCCCCAGCACTCTGGAGGCTGGCATGGGAGATGAGCAGAGGCTTTACTGTGCACTTGCGCTTTGGTTTATGAGATTCATGGGTATTCATCTGCTGTCAAATTGAGGGGAGAGTATTATCAGTGAACAACTTCCTTTGGAGATAAGTTCTTCTAATGGTTGCAGGGTTTTCCCAGAAGAAAGGCAACATTCTTGACTGTCCCAATGTAGTATAGGATGATAGATCTAATAAAAAAGGTGACCTCTTTAGATTTATTTTATTTTTAAACCTCCTTAAATTTTAGGTGAGCATGATTTTGTTCACTTCTTGCTGGAGGCGAACCCAAATCAGAGCACAGGACTGTTTCAAAAACTGTGCAGAACCAGAGACCTAAATGAGTGATGTATGTACGTTGGTATTTGGTTTGGTTGGAACCCTAAAGATACAGCAGTGAATGTTCTGCTTTGCCTTGTGGTGCAAGAGCGTTACAGGATGATTCTTGGTGATGTATCACAAGGATTGAAAGGGAAATTACATTGCTCTCAGCTTTTGTAGAAGTAGTCATTCTAATGTTAAAAGATACTCCCAGGTCACATCAGAGTCCTGCAGAGGAGCTGGGAATGCACGGCTGCAGAGGGGAAAACAGTATGTAAAGGAGATTGCAGTAGAGTCATCTTGGTTGCTGCTAGAGATGAAAATGAGAACTGGGAGAGCACCAAACTTATAGCCCAAAATTTAACTGTTTGTAAAATATTAGTAGGAACAGAAGTTTCTAGAATGTTTTTGTTCTTGCCTGGATAATGAAACCAGGTGTGGCAGTAACTGTTGTCCAAAATTCAGTCCAGGAAAATGCTGCTCATCTGTTCACCAAAAAATGCTTTTTTTCTCTTCAAGCTTAAGTAAACCAGTGGTATTGTAATAAATGTGATCGAGTCTTATTTTTAGAAGAAGAACCTTTCAATGTGTTTACTCACTCACCAGCGATTATTTTGTAGCTTGTACCTGCTGTAAGCATTATTACTGGGCTATGAGTGTGCTCTAGAATATAATATTCTGTGATCTAGAATATAATATTGAATTTACATTTTATAATATATAATTTATATTTAAATAGAAAAGTGCATTGCTATAGGAAGGTATAGTAAAGCTGGTATAATTTTTTAAGAAGAAACATTGCATCTAATATATTCATTCAAAATTGGGCAGTACAAGTGTGTTTCTTGATGACCAGCAGAAGCAGTTTCTCTCAGTTCAGACATCCTAATACATCCATTTGCATATATGAATCAGTTATCTTTTAGTGTCTAATCTGGTGAAAACAAACATTCCACAGGGACTACTTTTACCAGATTCTAGAGGAGTTAAAAAAACCCAACCTAAAATTCACAGGGCCAAGAAAAAAAATAAAATCTATGAGAATAGAGGCTTGGGATTTGGGTCTGGCCTTTCATATGTCAATTTAGTCCTAATTGCAACACAAGTTTCTCAGAATTCTATAACACAGAATTCATTGGAAGATGTGTTTCCTATGTTCTGAGACATCATTAATTGTAAGATGTATTTCCTATGTTATAAGAAATTAACAAGAGCCTGACATTAGAGGCGTGGGAATTTATGAGCTGGGATGTTGACACACCTAAGAACTGAAAACATGTCATAACCCAGCTCACTTACCTGTAGTAGGGATGCTAGGAAAGCAAAAAATGTGTGCATTTATGTTAGAAATTCTCCTGGAAATCCTGAGTCATTACCTTCCTCTCTTTCCTCTTCCAAGGACAGCTTTCTCATGTACTGTATCATGTGCCTGTGTTAGTTTGAGTGTGACTTTTGGATGTATGTGCTTCAGAAAGATGTTGTATCTGGTGCTAAAGCAGGAAGTGAAGGGTAATGTTTCATGCCTGGAGTCTATAGTGGGCTTGAAGTACTCTGATATATTCCTGTCCATGGCAGCTTTTCCACGTTGTGTGAAAGTATAGTAACATCTGTGTACCTGTGTGAAACTACAGAGTAACAATTAACTTTCACCATTTCAGAATTAACTTCTAGTTATTTACTTTTTCAGAGTAACAATTAACTTTCACTATATAATCAGAATTATTTAAAACTATTCTGATTATGCAACTAGAGGTATTTAGTCTTTAATTAATTCAATGCTCTGTCCTTTTGCCTTTAATTAAGATTTGTATTTTATAATAAAGCACAATCATGTGCTCTCTGAGAGATAATGGATAGTATTACTTAGCTACTATATGAACTGAATATTCCCCCTCTATTTGTATTCATGAGAAATCACATTTGTGCAGGACAATAAGAGGAAAAAGAAGAAATCCCACTGGGATGCACAGGTGTGTGCCAGCTTCACTGAAGTCAATTAACCCCTCTCATTGTTGCCTTTATGAACTATGGTTTTATCACTAGAACTGGGCATGAGTAGAATTTTAGTGGTCTCAAGTGACTTAGTTAAGGAATATTTCAAGTTTGAACAGAGCTTTATATAAATATGTGTACTTTACCATTTATTATCCAAATAAACAATTGATATATTAAAACATTTGCTGTTTGTATTGAGGCTTTTATCATGAATGACTATAGACCCATTAAAACAGAAATCAGTTAGTATTTTGGGGGGAACTAAAAGTTTTTTAAAAGGTTCAAGCATACAGTGGTTTTGCCAGAGAGCAGGCATGATTCTCCCCAGTGGCACCTCCAGTTGTATTAATCATGTAGCACATTGATGTATTAGACTTCTACTGTCTGTTAATTAGATAATAAAGATTGCAGCGTATCCTTCTGTAGGATACTAGTAAATTCAGGCTCTATTTTTCCAACATGTATAAGAAGTTAGTCTTTAACACCCTGTCATTTTTGAATTGTGAAATAGTGATGATCTGTAATGCCAAGCAAAAGAATAAGGGTCATTAAATATAACAAAAGGGGTTTTGCAGCTAGAATACTTTCCAAATACCTAGACAGATTAGGTTTGATAAGGATCAAAAGAGTATGCTAGGGGCTTAACTGCAGGAGAGACTGTTTTACTGAGGATAGATCTCCTGTAACTGTTTTTCATGGTGTATCTACTAGCCAAAGGGATTGCAAGTCTAACAACATCCTTTGATGGCTTCCTTCTTAAAATACATGATGTTAAGTGAGAAAGTGGGTTAAAATAACATCTGCATGTTTGCACTGTGTAAGCATAAATTATTTCCTGTAATAACTTAATACTGACTTTGTGACTATTTAGAATGATGAGCCTAATTAGAAAGCAGACATTTATGGCACCCCCTTTATTTAGTAGTCAACAGTTACTATGAATCATACAGGAGAAATCAGTAATTTTAAAACAATACATTGGATGGTATCTGTTCATCCATGTAAACAGTTAATTCACAGGTTGTCTTAACGCACTATTTTGACCTATGTTTTAGATTAAAGGAGACACATCTAGAATTTCTTCAGTGTCTGTCCTTCTTATTTCATGTAAGGTCATAGATATCAGATAAATTCTGCCGCAGATGATTCATACCAAGCCTCCATCTTAGAAGGTTCCTGTATCCCCAGGTAGCAAAATCAGATGTGCTGCTGTTGCCTCATGCTGAGTGTGCAGTCAATGTGAGAAGAGGGGACCATAACGTGAAGGGTTCCACCTTAGGTCTTCTCCTAAAGGAGCTTCAGGGAACACTTGCTGTCACTTGTCCTTAGGGATTTAGAATTGAGCTTTTGAAGACTCAGAATGATAGATACATTGAAAGTTTTTATTGTGGCTGTATGAATTCATGTTTTATTTAAAATACTATAAGAGCTGACATACAGTATTTTAAAGTTAGTGATAAAATCCTGGTCATAAGGAGAGGAACTATCACATTTAATATTTTTCCCAATGTTATTAAAAAAATAAATCTAAGAAATATATCTGAAAAATATTCAGGAATTTTCATCTGATTTTTGAAAATCTACATGGTACAACATCAGTTGCACTTCTGTATATTATTAATTGTTATATACTAGAAAAAGAGGATCTAGTCAGGATAATTAATCAGTCCAAGCATTCAAATTTTGTAGGCAAATTTTTCATGTAGTAATAGAATAGAGGAAATGTAAAGATGTATATAAATTAATATGTATTCATCTGTTTGTCCATCTAACTATTTCAAAGAAATTAACAAAACATTTGATTTCAAAACTATTATTAGCATCTAAAATTATTTTACTTATTTTTAAAAATATTATTTTGTAATATTTTATAGTGTTGAAGTACTTTATGTACATTTTCATCCCTTAGATGTGTCAAAGAATTTGATTATAAGCCTCCAATATTTTTATATTTTGAATATATTGATGCTGTGTTTGAGTGATGATAGTGGTTGATATTATTTGTGAAAAAATGTTCTGTCTAAAAATCATGTAGAAAGCTGTGTATGCTATTTCTGAAAATGTTCTGGAGAAACTGTGTTACTTGGGAGGAGTGTTACCAAAAAGCATCCCTGTTGCAGTGTAAGGAATACCTTAAAACCACAGGGGTTGAATAGCTGAGAACAGTTAATGGGACAGAGAGGCTTAGGTGAAGACAAAGAGTCCTTTTCAGCACTTGACAAAGTAAAATGAATTAATAGAGTGTTTATAATTTATGACTAAGGAGAGAGACCTTACAGAAAGTTACTCTCTAGAGTAGTAGGGAGCTGCTTGTAACAGGGAGATCTTCTGAATCTAGAAGTGTAATGCACTCAGTGTCTGATTTTGTTGGTGTTTTGTGCTGGAAATTATTGACAAATACAAGAAGAGGAAATCTCCTTGTTATAGTGTGGGAATAGAATGCTTAAAAAAACCTGCCACGTGGATGCTGAATTACCACACTGGGGTGCTGCAGTCTTCTTTAAGTTATGATACACACAACTGCGAGAAGCTTTCCTTGGTGGCTGGGAAAATAAGGATAATAATTAATAATAATAATAATGAAAATAAGTATAATAACATAGGAAATACAACATTTTGAAATGACATTTTTACTGCAGTCACAAAGACCAGGCAAAAAAAAATTCTATTTGAAAATAAATTTCAGAAATGAAAACTGTATTTTAATTTGAAAATGGGAGTATATGCACAAATCTGAACATTGCTGATGTCATTTACACACTGCTGCTTTTCTGATAAAAAATAGAAAATATTTAATTAAAATAGGACTTATAATTTGATATATAATTTTTCTTAGATTTCTTTCTTTCTTTTTTTAATAGATAGTGCCTTTGTGGATTGCTCCCAACCTGTTAACATTCTCTGGATTTGTCATGATTTTAGTTAATTATTTTCTAATATCTTTTTATGACTGGGACTACACTGCCTCAGGTAAATATCCTCATGTTGTAATTTTTCAGAATTAGTGAGCTTATCTCATACTTCTGCATGATACAGGAAGGTATCAGATACTTGAATCTTCCGTGCCTTAATGAGGCTCCATGTGCATATAGGAGGATCTGATCTCAGAAATTGCATTATAAATTTAGATCATTTTATGGAAAAATCTTACTTAATTTTATCCCTAAATATTAGTTTCTACATGTGCTGCTTGAAGTCTATGTTAATAACTAATTTTATTTGAAGTGTATTCCAGGATTTATATACACAGCCAAAAACTACGCTAATGTTCTTCATAAAATTTTCATTGTTTTCACGTTTTCTAATACCTAAACTGATGCCTGAATAAGTTAACTTCCCTTTCATTACTTCACTCCCCCATTAAAGACTGCTTCTAGACAAAGAAGAAATAATTTCTAAATAAATGTCTCTTGAAATTATGACTTTCAAAGTCCAAGTCCATATTTGCTCCTCATGGCAGATCAAGTCAAAAGCTTTTTGAAGCTGATTGTTCCTGAGTGCAGGGCATGTTCAGTTCTGGGCTTCCCAGACCAACTGTTGGAGCCTACAGAAAGCAGTAAGCATCTCCCAGGTGATTAATATATAAAAGTCTTTGCTTTTCTTTAAACTAGGCAATTTGGTGAAGATTTAACACTTTTATTTCCTGAAACAATTATGTTGGGTTTTGGGGTTTTTTTTGCTGCCTTTATGCCTGTGGTTAGGTTCAGGAGATGCCCTTTGTGTATTTATCACAACAATTCTAGAGGCAGGGATACTTGTTAGCAGTTTTGTTTCAAAAATAATCCTCTGTGAACATTTAAGTTTTCAGGACAAGCATGTTACATAGTTATCTGGCCTTATCCTTAAATGTGTGGTATTTTATCAGTGCAGCCAATATTTACTAAGTGTTCAATAAAAGAGCATCCAGCACAGATCTTCTAATGGCATAATTTTATCTTGACACATTCCCTGTAGATACACATTGAACTTGAAGCCATTTGAAATGGTGATTGTCTGTTAGAGTTGAGGCCTTTATGTGTAGTTTGCAAGCCTCTTCTTGATTTCACACAAGAACAGTGTCCATCATTTCTCAATTGATTGAAAACGTTCATGCAGCCTAATGAGCCTTTTGAGTATCATATATCAATCCCATACCTAAGATCAGAAACAAAAGACTTAATTTCCTGGACAGCTGGTTTTCATTCTACAGTTTGAAAAAATTTGCAGCTAGGAGTCAGGAATTGTCATCTTTGCTTTCGGAGTAGCAAGATGAGACGTTGAGAGAAAGGTGGTCAGGGCACTGCTTTAGATACTGGCACCTCCTTGTTCAGTAAGGACTCACCTCTGGGTGCAGGTATTCCCTATGTTTGGTGCCAAATGCCAGAAAGCTGAGAGTGCTTTGCACTTACAGTTTTTTAGTGCTGGCATAGTCCTTATTGGATTACGTTTAAGTTAAATATAGCACTCTTTGGAAAAAGGATTGATTTCTTCAAAAGAGCAACAATAATTGTGGGGTTATTGCTATCAGCAGAGCAATAATGGAACACTGGGTTCTGTCCAATTCATCTTTCTTTTCCGTTTTTCTCAAGGGAAAATAAAGGGTGCTAATATCTGTCGTAGCCTGAGGGCAAAAAATTCCTCTTTCAGATCTGTATGGTAAGAGTGCTACACAAAGAGCTAACAATAATGATCATGCTTTAAAACTACTTTTATTTTTTTTTGTCTTTAGATATTACATAAACATGAACTAATTTTTAGACAGATAGTGTTCCCAATACCTGTGAAATTTTTTGCCTAGTTACTATCATTATTTTGTGCAATACTAGAGTAATTTCAGGACCAAAACCCCTGTGCCTTATCTTCTCTCCTTTACAGTGTAAACACATTCAAGCCTGCTCATTGCTTGACTGTTTCAACAAGTATTTCAATCTGTTTGATGTAGTGGGCTAATCGGTGGCAGCTTGTTCATACATATATGCATATCTTGGTGGATTTCTTTTGATGTTAACCACTGTTACACTGACTCACTACCCAATTTATTTCAGGTACCAGTCCTGGACTTGTTCCCACTTGGGTGTGGCTGTTCAGTGCTTTTACGACCTTTTGTGCTTATGCTTTAGGTAAAGTACAATGAAATAATTTACACATCTGATCTCTTCATGTAGTTTATCTACTAGTTCACTAGTGATGATATTGAGATGAAGAGGTATCTCTCCAAAACAGTTCTCTGAGATGAAAAAAACCCACACCAAAAAACATCCGTAAGACTTAAAAAAAACACCTCAAGCAACAGCATTTTTAGTTGCATATTAGTCTATGACTGTAGCTCTCATCTTTCTTCAAAGTTCAAATTGTTTTAGAGGAAATCGTTATGTAGCAGCAGTCATTGCTATTGGGTTTCATAAAAACCTTTGAGTCCCAACGATGACATTCTGAGAAGCTCCCTGACACTCTGCATTAGCAGAGGGTGCTTTCAAAGACGGGGAAATAAAGGGAAAAGCAGAGAAAAAGGAAAAGGAGTATAGCATTGTGTTTTAAACTGTTAGGCACTTCAGTGCTTATGGCATGTGTCAGGAGAGATGGTATGAATATGGTGACAGGCCTGAGCTTCTTATGGAGGTGAAGTATAATTTCTTTCCTATTGCTGTTTTTCTCCTGTAATACCTATACCTCAGTTTCAGTTTTATATTCCATTTTTACTTTTCATATCATATCAGGACTGTATTTTTAGGTACATTGCACCTTACTGTGCAGTGGTGTGAAGGCATAGATCTGAAATGATGCAGATCTGGGAATGAGATTCACATTAGCATGACTTTTTTGTTTTCTCTTCCAAAGCTAACTCATTCCAAAGTAGTCTCTCCACAGCATGGTGCAACAGAGTTAATCTGGGGGTGACTCAAGGCAGTACATTTACATGGACTGTGCTGTATAAATGTACCCTCTCTTTGGAGCTGGTTGTTATAAGGCCCTGCGTTGCAGACTGTAGCCGTACATTTCTGTGCCATTCTTAAGATATCCAAGCTAGATATAAATGTGTTCTAGATGTACAGTACAGTGTTGTGCAAAGATGATGGCCAATTTTGGTATCAGACCCTTGATTAATCTGGGATATCCCCTTGTGCAGACATCTCTTTCTTCATTGTAGATGCCTTGGCATTTCTATTTAAGTGGTGAGTTTTTGCCAAAATTTTGTCCAGAATTTGTATTTGTACCACAAAAATCACTGGGACAACTGTCCCTTGAAGCTGACTACCAGTCAGATTTCCTTAACAGCTCTTTCTAATCATTAGCAGAAGCAGCAGTTTCTTTTGTGCAAACCATTCTTTATGTAATTGTATAGAATTTAATGAAGTGGCTATTGTTTCATAAATAGGAATTACATATTGGAGCTGTTACTGTATGATACCACAGAAATTTCACTGGAAATTCAGCTTCTGAGATTCTTAATGTAGATGTTATTTGCCAGTGAGGCCTATAGTTCCTAATACTTGGAAGACAATGAATATGATGTTGACAGTCAAAGCTATAATGAGCTGATGTATATGTAGATTTTATGTCTGCTGTCCAAGCCACTTCATGAAATATTTAGTCTCAGATTTAATTCTGCATGTCCGAAGTTTTCCCTTTGGAAGACTGCAAAGAGCCATAATAACTAACCAAATATGCAGCTTTAATCTCTCTCAGCTTCTTTTTAATGATACAGTTACTCTCTCCAAGTTCCCTAGCATGCTGCTCTTTTTTGTCCCCCTTTGTTAAGGTGGTTTGGTATCTTTTCCCTTTCCATAAAATGGAGTGCAAATTCAACTATTTAAGTTATATAAACTTTAATAAACCTGAAGACTCACGAACCTTTATGAGACAAAATCATAGTATAAGAATTTTAAAGCAATGGAAGTGTGGGACAGTGTATGTCCATTATTGAAAATACACCATTGTTGGAGTGAATTATTTCAAATTGAAACCTAAACCAAAAAATATTTTCAGTCTGTTAAAAAGCTAGTGAAACCACATGGAAAATGTGTGTAAAAATTTGTGAAAATCCACTTTTATGTATGTACTATACAGTTTCTGTATTTTTCTCCATGCCTGTTATAAGTACTGTATTTCATGACACCATTATAAGCCGCCTCTTTGCAAAATTAAAACCACTCTTTCAATGTGATGTACATATTTTAGTATCATCTAATGTGAATATTCTTTTGTGACAGCCTAAAATAATTATGAACAGACAAATCTTCTATCATTCTCATTTTCAAAAAGTATTACCCCTATAACTGAATAGTCTCTGATTTGGGATAGGTGTTCCTGAAATACAAAAGCCCATAAACTGTTTAGGGATGTTTACATACCTATTTGCTACTTAAATTTCAGAAGCATCCTTTAACAGACCAAAGAATTTCTACATTTACAGTAACGCTATTCAAGTATTTCTACATTTATAGCAACACTATTCAAGTAACTTCAACCTTAGTTTTCTTTCTGCGCATTTCAGTAAGATGCTGACAATTCAGTGGTAATGTTAATGGAAAGAGAATGTGGCTGTAGAAGGGGGCAAGCCATGTTTGAAATCCTCTATGAGATTTTAATTTTTAGAGTTGTGAGAACTGGCTCAAGAGATTTGTATTTGAGCAGAGGATATCTCACAGCTGTTTAGGTATTACAATAGGGAGATAGTCTAAAATCTGTACAAAATGAAATTCCATGTTTTCCTGGTTTAGATCCCTGAAGTATATTTACATTAAACACAACTCAGAGTACTGCCAAATAATCTGGAGAAGTAAGTAGCGTATGATCTATAGCAGCTGTGGAGTCTTTGGTCTCACTCTGCTGAGTTGTATCTCTAGTCAGTTTTGGGTTACTAATGCTATCAATAGCTAATAATTGTTATATACCTTCCAAGTAACATTTAAAAGATAACATTTCTCCATGTTATTTTCAGATTCAGGATAACAATAAGTAATCTGTAAGGTTTGTTCCTTTTTCCTAAGAGGTTCATCATGCATATTTACACTTAACTTTAAGAAGTAAGTATTTCTATTTCTCACCAGCACAGTCTCAGAAAGTAAGGGATGGTTGGACAACACAGCTAAGAAAGGTTACAGCTGCTAGACCTCCTTCCTCTTCCTCCTCCCCCCTGCATTCACTGCCCATCCCTTGTGCCATCTCCCTTGGTTTTTGTACCATTCACAGCACCAGTTCTGTTCAGTGACCCAGAAGAAAATGTAATGTTTGCTGTCTTTCCACCAGCTGAGCAGGCTGCAGGTCCTCCCCTGTTCAACAGCAGTGAACTCTCGGATCGACTCAAACCATGTTATCCAAATGCATCCTCAGAGTGAGATCCAGTTTGGGCATCTTTCAAGCACTTAAGTATTGAAAGTGATCCACACATAATTTACTTTAACAGTAAGGTATTCTTAGAATCGTAGAATCATTTAAGTTGGAAAAGACCTTTAAGATCATCCGGTCCAACCATTAACCTAACACTGCCAAGTCCACCACTAAACCATGTCCCTAAACACCACATCTGCACAACTTTTAAATACCTCCAGGAATGGTGACTCAACCACTTCCTTGGGCAGCCTATTCAAATGCTTGTTAACACTTTTGGTGAAGAAATTTTTTCTAATAGCCAATCTAAACCTCCTCTGGCACTACTTGAAGCCATTTTCTGTTGTCTTCTCACTTGTTACTGGGGAAAAGGGACTGACACCCACCTCACAACTACCTGAAAGGAGGTTGTAGTAGAGAGGGATGAGGTCTCCCCTCAGCCTCCTTGTCTTCAGGCTAAACAAGCCTGGTTCCCTCAGCTGCTCCTTATAGGACTTGTGCTCCAGACCCTTCACCAGCTTCGTTGCCATTCTTCGGATGCACTGCAGTACCTCAAGGTCTTTCTTGTAGTGAGGGGCTCAAAACCCACAATATTCAAGGTGCGGCCTGACCAGTGCTGAGTACAGGCGAATGATCGCCTCCCTAGTCTTGCGGCCACGCTATTTCTTGGCCACTTGGGCCCACTGATGGCTATTGTATCCTAATTTCAACTGAAAGACTATTTAAAATATCTTATGTAGGCACGTACACAAATGAATATGTAAATGCCGTATTGAATCTACCCCACAAGTGGTCTGAAGTCTCAGAGGGTCCACAACACCAATGGATGGCTGGGAAGCCCTATGGATACTTTTCAGAAGTTTCCTTGAGAAACTGTTTGCAGGGACTGACGTGAAAGTCTTTAAAGACCACTGGGGACAAGTAATTATAAATGTCTTTCTAAAGCTTGTAAGGAAGGTAGCATTTAGTTCAAGAGCTAAGGTGAGGACAGAAGAATTATCTGATAACTGAAGCAAATATTTTATGAGCAGTCCTAACAGTCCTACTGAAGGGACAGTTGTGTTTCAGTTTGCTGTCATCCATGTATTTTTTCTTATATGTTATATATGGCAATAGTGAAGTGTACATGACAAAAGTTCCTCCTTTTGTTGTGTTCTAATTCTTTATTTCTTTTCCTTTCCCAATTCTTCTAGACTCCATAGATGGGAAACATGCTCGAAGGACTCAGTCCAGTACTCCTCTGGGAGAATTATTTGACCATGGGCTGGATAGCTGGGCTACCTCCATTTTTGTGCTTTCTTTTTTTTCTGTCTGTTCCCGTGACAATGGGAAGACTGGAGTTTCTGTATATACAATGTATATATATTTAAGCATTGTTTTGTTTAACTTTATGTGTTCACACTGGGAGAAATATAACACAGGAGTTCTTTTTCTTCCTTGGGGATACGATATAAGCCAAGTGGTAAGTAGTTATCATTTCTGTTTTGGTTTTATTTTTTTAACTATGTTAGTGTTTTCATAATATTACAGAAATAGAAAAATAAAGATTCAATACAAATATATTTGGCCAAGATTTTGAATGGGAAATAGCATAACTCTAAATGTAACCCTGAAATATTTCCTGCATTTACAACGAAGGGATGCTCTTGAGCATCAGAGATTCATTGCCTTGCAATAAAAAAAAGTCTTGCAGAAGCTTAGCAGTCAGATAGCCATGAGAATGTCATTTAACTCCATTTGATTTGTGGTATTAACAAAGATTATTATGCTATCTGAATCCATAAGCAATTTTCCCACCAACACTAGGCTCTAAGGCATAATGTGATATAGTCCAAGTTGTATTTATTGAGTAATTTTAGTTATACCACTTCTTATATCAAATGGGGTAATGGAAATAGCATTGTATGTATACAGCGAGTATTAACTGTTGTCAAGTGAGTTTTACCCTTGAAAAAAAGCCAAAGTCCTACCATTAGAGGTTTCTGCTCTGGGAATGGGTTTCAGTAACGTGAATTACGTATCAGTCACAGCCAGTTCCCAGCTGAGTACTTGACTGGGCTTACAGCCCTACCTTGAGGTGGACCTCTTCAGAAATATGCCCAGGGCACCATGGTGAGTGGTGGCCTCAGTGCACAAATAAGTAGCAGCAGTAACAAGCTCATTGCACTGCCAAAGGCCCTGCACTGGGATTTCTGGGCTGGCTTATCTGTTTCTTAGATAGCCAGGCTTTTGCAGCCTGAAGAGCAGAGTCCCATTCTTCTGAGCTTCCTGTCACAGGCATGAGATGAAAGGTACAGCCAAATATATATAATTGAAAAGAAGTTTGACAAATATTCAAATATGTGTTTTAATGGAAATATAGTATTTGAATTAATGGCTGCAGATGTATTGCTGTAAACATAATCAGAATCCAGTGGTTTGAGAACAACTCAGAGGTGGTGGTCCAGCTGTGGTACATCTGTTTCGTCCCCTAAGAAAATAGGCTCTGGGAGAAGAAGTTGGCTCAGGACTAAGACATTAGGCAGCCAGCTGGTCTGCAAGTTTCATCCATGACTGTGTAAGGCTTCTTCGTGAAGTTCTTCCAGCAGGAGAGGAATAGCTATGTTCAAACCAATTTCACTTTTTGCTCAGATGATCACTGTAGATCTACATGTGAATGTTTAGAAAGCTCTTTTTGATTGCTACAGCATCCGAACTATTTTAGTGGTTAAATATGGGAGTGGGTCTCAACTAGCAGAGCAGCACAGTTAGCTCTGTCAGTGCCTTTAAGTGACCTATGCCTCTGTCACTGCTTTCCCATCTGGGAAATAATGGTAGTAACATTCCCCTGCCTGACAGATTTGTGGTGAGGCAGAATTTCAGTAAAGTTTGTAAACTGCTTTGATTAACTTAGATGCAAGGTGCTAACAAGTGCTATTTCCTGTTCCGCTCTGATGTTGAATTGCTGTCCTGCCGGCTTGCTTTCTAGTAACTTCTGTGATAATTTGCCTACAGCCAAAATGATAAGCATAAAAATGTAAAGATTTTTTGTTGCTCTATATCACAATCATTAACAGTGGTGGAAGATTGTACTGTTGAAATGCCTATATGTCAGTTTTTCCATCTGTAAAAATTAGCTTTTGTAGTTGTGATTGCCTATGAACAAAGACAAGACGGGTTTTGTAGATCAAGCTTAGTATTTTTTCCATTAGTCCAAACTACATTTCACACACAATGTATTGTTTTCCCAGTGTACTAACTAGTCTAGTAAAAGATCGTCATTCCCCTACAAACATTGCCTTGCTCTTGTTCTGTAAACTCATTCAGCAAATTTTGTATGATGTGTGTCCTATTAAAGGTAGCTCTTCATCTCCAGCTACTTGGAGAGGATAATGAGGACATTAGCGAATGACTTATGAAGAACAAGAAAGGTAATGTAACCCTTGCTGGGTTTTTTTTCCCCACCACTTCTCTGCCAGATATTCCTAAATCCCATTCGGAGGCAAAGAGTGCAGAAACACTCTCAGACTGCTTTCAGGCTGATTCCCAGCATTAAGTTCACTATTTCCTCCATGACATTCCTAGCTGGATTGCTGCACCAATGTGCCTCTCTGCTCTGTCTTCAATAATTTCACCGACAACATGATGCTACTGCATTGGTATGTCAGATATTCAGGTGGTCTAGTCCCCTGCTTCTACTTTTAAATTTGATGGTAGCCAGGAACTTTGTACTTCATTATCACCACAAAGCTCAGGAAATACAGTAATTAGTATAAGTGTGCAAATAGATAACTGTTGACCCTAATGAAAGCTTAACTGGTATGTAGCTCCCAGAACACTGCTGTTGAGTCAGCTCCACTGTATATAAACACAGACAGCCCGCTCACTGGCTCTGGGTTAACTGTGGTATAAAAAGAGCTGGTGTTCCTCATGAAAAAATATACCTCATTATAAATAGAGAAATTTGTGGAACTTATGCAGATCACATTTTTCTGTGACTTGATGACTCGTCAGAACTGGTAACCTAATTGCACTAGCTGGGCTGTAATTGGCACTCCAATTAGCTTTGATTACAGCAGACAGTCATTTATAGGAAACTGCGGTGTGTAAACTTGAAAAATGGCTGTTAATGTGTCTGAGAGATGCTTGGTCAGAGGACTGTTATGTTTGTGGATCAAGGAGGCGTCGTCTGCAGCAGTGAAAACTCTTCCCCTCTCTCCTCCCTCCAGCACAAAGAGCTATCTCCTTCTGACTCCTCTGTGGGCAGAAAAAGATGCAGGGAGAGGAACCTCTTTATACCGTGTCACCTAGACAATTTTCTTACACTTTCAAGTAAGCACAAACCCCCAGTAGTCATGGGCTGAAGAAAAGACTAAAAAAAAAAAACAACCAACCCTTGCTAAAGACAAAGCTTTCCTGAGAAGGATTTCCTGCCATGTATTAATTTTTCGTCCTCTGGATTGTTCAAAAAACTATTTTTTCTCCTGAAAATTTTAATATTCCTCTAATGAAGTACTTCCCTAAAACTGCTGTTGCTTTTTGTAAGCTGCTGCACTTGAGTTCATAGTGGGAGAACAAAATGTTCATTTTCCCTTAATATGATGTGGTGATACCTCTGCTTACATCGGTTCTGCCTGAAGTGTAACAGGGAGGTACCCTTTATATTCTTAAATAAAAGTTTAGAAGTGACAAAAGAGCTGTGTGAGAGTTGGAGTGACCCAGACAATTCCATGCCCCTTCCCCTCACTCTCCCCAGCTCAGGGGAAGCTGGAAAAAAGCACGAGCAGCAAATGTGAAAGGCAACAGGCAGCTCTCTCTGGCCCTGCCCTAGCGTTGTAAGGAGGGGATAACCAGAAATCCTATATACAGTCTTGACTGAAGACATGGGTGCTTGGACCATAAGCCTCGGGTTTTTGGTTTGAGATGCTTTCCCAGATGGTTCTGCTCCATGGCTTTGGATGGTCCCACCTAGATTCTCAGGGAGAACACTGTGCTTGCCTTGAAACTCAGAATAAATGAAACAGGTAGCAACTGAAACATTGTAGAACTTACTTTTTTCCTTCCTTTCAGTTTTTTTGAATGCCATATACCAGGTTTTCTTTAGACATGCAGTTTACAAACTCATGCTGAAATGTTTCATATAGCCTTTTCCTGGGAAGTACTGTGCCAGCCGGTGTTCCAGGAGCTGGCAGAGAAATCCCAAGCAATGCAAGTGCACATACCATCTTTTAAAAGCTTCCATCTCTTCTGAGGGGCAAAAAAAGGTCTCTATTAAAAAGAAAAACGGAGACACAAATGTGTTGTTCTTTGGCCACGTTATCAGGATTCAGAATCTTTTTTCTTTTACTTTCTTTTACGTTCTAAGATAGTAACTTTCGGAGTTTTTCTAATTTGACATGGAAAGCACAGCCTTTCTTGGGAAGAAATAATATTGATTATTATTTAGTTCCAAAGGTAGGAACACACTGGAACTGTTGAAGTAAAAGAACTGATAGTGGTGTGGAAGCAGTGCTGGCCAGGCCATGGTGTCTGCTTCCAGTGGCCTCCTGACACAGCTGGAAACCAAATCGGTACTTGGTATCTGAGGGAAACCCCACAGTGTATCCATGTGAAATTCAAACAGAGGAACCTGCGGTGCACAGGCTCTTTCTGCAGCAGATTGCTTCATTCTTAACCATTTGATTATGATTCTACTCAAACATTTCTTGGTTAGACTTCCATGTGCCTTTAGCTGTTTACCTATCACACATACTGCATGTCTAAATGCAAAATCACCTTTTTAAGATACATGAAAACTATTTTTATAGGCTAAATTTGCCACCTTTATTCATTGGAAGAAAAAATACTGAGATAATATTTAAATGGAAAAATTACACACCATGCTAAAGCTTAACTCCTGCTGAAGTCACTTGTAGGAAATTGTTAGTTTTTCCTTTTTTAGGCAAGTGTCACCTTTATTTTCAGAGGAAAAAAGTAGCCTTGTATTTTAAATTACTTGCTCTCTAGATGTTCAGTGATACAGAGCACTGTATTAATGGAAAATATTTCAAGGCATGAACAATTAATGCTATTGGAGAATGCTGGTGAAATATAATATTACAGTAAAATTAATGTCTTTTTTGAATCATAAAGAATTAAAAAGCATAGCCAGAATTTTTTTTTTAAAGATGAGAAAATGTTTGATATTTCTTTTTCCTGTGTAGTGCATCATGCAGCATACTCAATGTGCCTGTGTGTAAAACAGAAATGATAAATCATTAATGGTAAATCATGAGGGGGAAAAAAAAAGTATGAATGCACACACACAATCTGGAATATTTTGGTGACAAAACTTACACCTGCAGTAGTAGAAAGACATTAAAAAGGTGGTGATTTAAAAAATCAGGTGTTTTAGAGAACAGTTAAAAGGCTAGAAGCTAGGAGATTTTGAGGAGTTACATGGCCTTATGGTTATGTAGAATTTTCCCAATGCCACATTAAAGAAGTATTCTGATTTTACAGAGGGATAAAGGTGACTACGTTGTTGTGATTTACAAAATTGTGACAAGATAGGGAGCCCTTGCTCAGAAGCCAGCTGTCCTGCTGTTTGGCCATATCAAAGGGCCTACAAATTAACATATGTATTTCCAGGTTTTTGCCTACATAAGTACTTCTCCTCATAGATAAGGCATTGGCAAGCCAAAAATTTCCCTGGTCAGATGCTGCAGTGAGTTGGAATCCATGATTTTATACATCTGACACTAACTTGCTATATAGTCCTTACTTGTGTTATTTAATTTTAACTTGTCATTTTACAAAAGGTTGCAATTATTTTTACTTGCTAAAGGCTACATTTATATCTGAAAAGTACTAAAGCCAGTGCTGGAGAGATGAGTAAAAAACCTGGCCATCTTTTCTTATGTAGAATTACTCAGTTGCACCTAGGAATACTGCTTTATGTCTTAATTTTTTTTTTTTTTTACCAGTAGTGCCTTTAAAAAACATTTATACAGTTGATTAACATACTTAGCTTTTGTCTAATAGTTTTGACAATCTTCATTTTTTGATGATATAGCTTAGCTCAAGGGACACAGCCATTTTCTCATCCTTCCTGCTTTCTAAAGGAGGTCTTTGAGACTGCCTCAGTGAAGTCAAAGTTAAGAGTCCTTGAAAAACAACACATCAAAAATTTGCAGCCAAGACTTGTTTTTTTTTTATACGCCACATCTGTTAAATAAGAGACAATCTCAACCTGTGAGTGCTGCATCACCAAATCCCAGGGCAGGAGATTCCCCTGAGAAAGCCCTTTGCATCGACAGTCCTCTTCCTAGAGGTGTGCTTACATCTGACAGTGATACTCAGGACTGCACTGCCAAAAGTACTGACTGTAATAACGGATGATACTGAAGTTCGTCTTTTATCACATGCCAAAAAAGTCTGTGCAAATTCAATGTGTGAGGGTAAATTCAGGCTCCACCAAAGCCAGTTGGAGTTTTGCCATCAACTTTGATGGGTCCAGGAGTCCATCCGTCATGTCTTACAGATAACATAATGCAATTTCTTCAGAAAGCCAACTGTTAGTTCTGTTGTAGTTGATTGCAAAACCCATTGTACATGTTCTTCATTTAGACCAAAATTTGACTCACTGTCTTCAATGGCCTAAGATGTAACTCTGATACTAGTGCCTGCTCTTCTCCATTGCAGATCTGGTGTGCTGCTTGTTCTTGCAGAGGCAATTCAAACATCCAGTTCTGCACTGCCACATTCAAGAAAAACTCTTTAAGAGCTACATACTGATAGGGCAAGAATCTTGAATTTAGATACATAGAAGTAAGTGAAGCCAAATTTAGTGATATCTACATGTACTAGGGAGTTTAAGCAACATTAGTGTTCTGCTACTAATCTGTGATCTTAAACAGCTTGTTATCTAAAAAAGAGATTTTCAGTGTACCTTTAATTTAATAGAAGGGTTGAAATGTATTTATTGATGTTAAAAATGAAGAAAAAAACAACATAGTAAAAAATTAGTATTTAAAAAAGCTAAAGTAGTAAAATATATCATAGAGGTAAAGCTGGAAAATACTTGTCATCCCAGACTGAGAAGCTGTTTTGAATGGAAAATATAAAGGTTACTGAACGTTACCTGGAAATAAATAGATGAATATGTAGTCTTCCAAATGGGATTATAATTAACACAGTTGCTTTAATTTAGACCTAAAGTAAATGTTCGCAATTCATTCTTAATCCAAGTTTAGAATAATTTAGGACATTGAAACCTAGCATGAAACATATAGCCCCTTGAGTCCTACAGCAAAACTAAACAGCTGAGAACAAAATAGCCTAGAGAAGGAGTGGGGCAGCAGTCCCGCTAGCTGGGTGCCAGCAGCAGAAGGGGCTGCAGGGGGTGGGTGGCCTGGGCTAAGGCAGGAAACAGGTTTCAAAGGAGAGGGGGGTCCCTTGAGGAGCTGGGATCAAGGGCACAAGGGCTTGGGAATCGCTGTATTGTGTTCAGTACTGCACTATCGTGTTATACATTTAAAATGGTAAAACTTCAACAATTTATGCCATAAGCTGTCAGTAGGCAGTGCTGCTGCGAGCAGTACAGTGGGTGTGAATGTTATAGCTATAGGAGCTGTAGGGTTTTGATTGCATTAAGACTTCTGACCTCAGCTGGGTCGCAGAATTAACTCTGACAAGAGAGTAGAAACTACATTTACATCACTACTGAAACTGGTGGCACTTCAGCATGTTAAGTGACTCATGGAGTCTTGTGTTTGACTCCTAATAAAGTTTGACTGCTTATTTCTTTTTGTGTCCTGTAATGATGCTATCTGTCAAACAAATTAAAAATCAGAGAAGACTTCAGCTGCCCTCCCCTTCTTATTTCTTCATATTCAATTTTATTTTTTTATTATTTCAGGTGACTTTTTTCCCGTCTCAGTTATTCTGATATGATCAGTTCAGGTGACTGAGCTGCAAAACCAGCCACATTGCTAATTCTGAAGTCTGTGTGCAAATACAACAAAGTGCATTTGCAGTGGAGAGACCTGGCTTTAAGAAGTGACTTAGAAATTGGGTGCTTTGAAAAAGTGTGTTAGTAATACTCGCCACATGCAAACAGATGCACACGGTAGCAGAAAAGTTGCTTACTGTATTTCACACATTGCTAATAATTTTGTTGGTGATCCTGGAAGCTGTTTCACTGTTTAGAAGTAATTTTTTTGGATGAAGCATAAGGTCTTATAAAGCAGAGATGAAGGAAAACAACATATATTTTTTTTTTATTCTTGCATTTGTGTTAGATAAGTGAAATTCTGTGCCTTTAGAAGTAGAGGATTGAAAATATGTTGTCCTTTTTCTATAGGTATTAATAGCAGCATATCTGCTCACCGGTGCTGTTGGTGTGGAAGTCTGGCAGAAGCCTTTCCTGTTTGGTTATTACATTACAGACGCATTAGTAATGTTGCTTATAGGTAAGTGGCTAGATCCATGTAGAACTGTACTACTTTTAAATTATTTTGATTAGATATTTCTTATATTTCCTTCATATTTCTTTTTCCCTTTGTGAGTGTTGGTTAGTCCAAAAATTCCACATGAATAGAGCTGATTAAAAGGGCTGATACTGGAAAACTTTTAAAAAGTAGGTCATCTTGGGAACATGAATTACTGAACTACTATTTATGGTACACAAATAATACCGAAAATGTTTTTTATATGCACGTACAGTTCAGCACTGTGTGCTGGCTGGCTGGCTCTCAAAGTCTCAGGAACTCCTCGTGTCACTCAGGTAAAATGTTGTTCACATTTTTACATATTTTGCATTTTTACACATTTTACATATTTTATAAGTTTAATGTTTTGGCCTGCAGCACACTATGCTCCAAAACATTATAGATGGGAGGAATAAAGGGATGGGAAGCACAACTGTAAACCTGAAAAAGAGCCAGCTGGTTTCTAAGATCTTCTTTAGAATTACTTTCCAGAAAGAAGTGATGCATTTTTCATACACAGCAATAGCCTATTTGCTCATTATTTGATACTGTCAGTGTAGTTTGAAAAAAGCATTTTTCAACTGCTATAGCTGGGCTGGGAACAAGAGCACTTACATTTTAATGAGTTAAAACCAGTGTAGTCTTAGCTAAAAATGTGTGTATGAAAAATGGCTTTGATGTGTTGCTTGGAAGATGAAGAAATTAGCATATAAATTTTAGGAATTTTTATGTGAGTATGCAAGTGATGAGGACACCAAAAAACCTGTTTGACACCAATAGTCTAGACTTATATCCCAAGAAACATCTTCACCCCTTGAGCCAAATGTAGGACTTAAATGTAGGTGCTCACCCAACACCAACTCTTAACTAGGAGTCATCTGAGCATTTTAGGGGCGCACCTTTGAGTCCACTGCATTGACACATGTTGTCACCACCCTTTCCCATGGTGAGGTCTTCAGCAGGTTCTGCCCCCAGCTTCAACAGTGCCTCCCAGAATTCCCAGATTGGAAAGGACCCTGCAATCAGGCTGTGCTTTCTAATGAGCAGCATGGACAAGGACGTGGTTTTAACAGTCTTTGTGCTTTACCTAGAGTATAAAACTGACCATGTGTAACCCAGATTGTTGAATCTTTTTCTTGTCAGGCCTGGTTTAAGCACTCTGAGGAAAAGAAAGAAAGGAAGGGGAAAAAAACCCAGTGGTTGCCTTTTCAGTATTCAACGAATTACTCAGCTTGAGAGAGGTGTAGCTACAACATGCCCTCTGGTGGCGGGCAGGGCGCTGAGGGCTAGGGGTGATTGGTGCTCTCGGAGGAGCACCACAGGGCCAGGAGAAGTGGATGCTGGCTTGCCCAGAAGCATCAGGTTAGGCCTGCATTGGCGTTAGGTGCTAGCATGGGCTAGTCCGTTGGACATGCTCGTTCTGTGCTGCACACGTCGCTGCTTTTGTTCCCGTCACTAAGGCACATGACAGCCCATTCAGTGAGTACACTGATGGCTTCTCTTTGCGCTTGGGAAGCCATGGATGAGGGTTTAATTCAAACAGTTCAGCATGTTAGGAAGGTTTGTGGTAGGGAACAATGACAATGTCATCAGATCTGCAGAAGTGAGCATCCTTTTTCATACTTTACCAAAAACATCTGCAAAGCAAGGTTTTATAGATTATGCCATTAACGTTATAAAGAACTACTGGTCTGTCTCATGTGGTACACTTGCATGAATGGATCTGTGAGCAGAGAATTGAGTATTTCTTCCATCATTGTCCTAAGCACAGTAGATGTAAGTAAGAACAAAAAGATTTCTTTAAAAACATTGTCTCTTGCACACTATCCACAATGCCCTTAACAGAGCAACTATTGCAGCTTAATGTAGTTAAATATGGGTTTAAAGTATGCAAGAAGTGGTCTTGGTTGAATCTATATTACAAAATTGTCACAGTGCTTAGTAAATCTCTAAAAAAAAAAAAGACACTAAATTTAAATAATTAAAAAGTAGAATCGTTCCACCAGGGATCATGCTGCTCCGGAAAGCACTTCCATTTCACCACAGGTTTGAATCTGAGCTCAGAAGTAGTGATTAAGGTGGTTATCACTGGATAGCCTGTGTGCAGTGAATATAGATCTATAAAGTTTTAAGAAGCTTGCAGTAAATTGCAGGACCCCACTGTGACTGCAGAAAAAGTATCGGTCTAACCTACACTGAGGGCTGAACAGCTAGGAAGATTAAATTATTCTCTCCCTTAGAAAGGCTGCCACAAGTGTGTCTTGCTCAGCAGATCTATCTGTATCAGTGAGCCCACTCTCTGGCATGCTCAGTTAAATGCCTTTGTGGCTAGTTAAGAAACAAAGCGATGTAGTGGGCCTCTGATGCTTTTTACGAGTTAGTTTCCCAGGACTCCAGGAGGAGCCATTAAACTATAACTGGCTGTCCTTAACCATCTGATGGCATTTAGTAGTCACTAGTGGTCCTTCTAATGATGAACCTGTAGCTGCTCCATCAATATTTGGCATTCGTTTTGTGCTTTTACACAACAGTTTCTGTACACAACAGTTCAGCTGCTGAGCCATTACTTCTCTGAGAGCAGCTGGTCTTTAGCTAGTACCTTCTGTAGTGGGAAGAAATCCAAACAAGATGCAAGAGAGTGGAGTTTTTCAGATGTCTTTCTTTGAGTTTCTGGGGGGAAAAAAGAAAGAAAGAATAGCCCACATATAACCTAAGAATGAACTCTGCAAAAGCACCTCCTCAGAGGAAGCTGTGGTTTCACCAGGTGACACTCACTCACTGAGAATAATGGAATTTTTATCAGGTGCCAGAACACACAAAGATATACATAAAAGTGCAGCAATACTGGTGTTTAGATAAGATGTTCTAGGAAAGCCTCCCAAGAGAGAGCTTTATATATGTCCCTGGCAACTGTCTAGCACGCTGTGAACACCTGTAGGAAGGCCAAATCTTGGCCTGCTGAACAGTGACCTCAGAGGACTGCCCTGTGAAGCAGAGAAACTTCTGCATAGTATTTTATGGGAATTTTTTAGCTACCCAGAGAACAGAAACCTGTAATTTTCATAGTCAGTGAATGCAATTCCATCCTGCACATCCAAACCACACCTAGCCACACACCAAACAAACTCCTGTTTCCAGAGTGTGTTGTCCTGGCTGCTAGATAGAAATACCTTTTCTCTCCTAGCATGAAAGCAGCTAGACCTTTCTAAAGTTATGTGCCTGTGTCCTCAGTTGGAACTAATTACTTCTGCTCTCAGCAAGGCTCCTGTGGATGACACTTTGAAACCTCTCTTGGGATTTAACCACAATTGTCCCATAGTATTATCTGGCTAAGTAGGATCCCTTCAAAGGGCAGCGCTGGGGTGAGACTTATCATTTATTTTCTCCTCTCCAGGGTATGCTGAATGCCTAGCATTCCCTGTCGCTGTGCTATCAGGTTGAGAGCAATATAAAATATTTACAAATAAGCATTTTAAAACAGTCAATTCCCCACATAAAGTCTCGTACCACAAATGATGCTGTAGACTTCAGAAGAAGATTTGCACTGACAGGTAATCATCAGTAGTTCAGGGAGCAGCATTACTAATTGATGATGGTTTCTGTCTCACATTGCAATTAAATGACCTGTAAGAGGTGTATGTTCTGAGTGAAGCATTTCCCATTCTTGGGACATTCATACTTGATCTCGATGAGACAGATTTTATAACATCTAATAAAAAGCTGCAGTTCTCTCCTCACTGGAGACATTTATATGTCTGTTTTCCTCTACCTGACTGTTCATTTCCATGCCACTTACTGGAAATTTCTTTCAGTTTATTAAATTTGTTCGGAATTGACCAGAGGGCTCAGAAGTTATGGTGAGACGCACACAAACAAGCAAAGCGTTATCACATCAGCTTCATTCCTTAGGAAGCTATGTTGGAAAAATGACTCCGGGATGCACAGAAAAAATTCCTGCTTCTCCACAATATTAATTGCAACCACAAGAACAGGCCTTGTGGTTAAAGGATCACTAAAGCATGGACTGGGTAGGTTGTCCTTCAGTGTGTGGCACATGAGGCAGACCTGTAATCCAGACATAGTGGCACATTTGAGTCCGCTTTATCAGGTCAAAAGTGCCCAGATCTGGCTACTGAAGCCTCTGTCAAAGCCGAGACAAATTTTCAAAGTACAGTTTGAACATGAAATGTGAATGGAGTACTAACATCTGTCAGAGATCTGAAACTTGAACTTTCTTTTAGAGATGGGGCCAAAGCATTCAGATTTTTTTCCTATGATGTGTATTGGATTGGGCTCTGTGCTGACTTTTGCAGTGTGTGTTCCTTGAGGTTCACTCCGCCTCTAAGCTACTTAAGTACATAAAATGAGGAATAAATACATAAATGAAAACATAATAGCAAAAAAAAAAAAGTAATGATGAGACCAAGCCACAACATTTAAAACATGCTAAGTATTTGAATTCTGTCACAGTGGGAAGGCACAGTTATCCATCTGAAACAGTGCCTTGTCCTTACACTGTGTCCTATATCCTATGCATCAAAGGAGGACACAGAAGTCCATGCAGTGGGTAATTAGACAGCAGCCTGCCCTTTTTTAAGTGTCAGAAAATGATTAGGAGGCCATGGTCAAATTATAAATTGTTTCTCCCTCATATGGGTAAGTCATTCTGTAGTGATTTCCTATAGTTCCCACTGGAAAGTGGCTGACGGTTCTGCCTTACTGATGTCAATGATTAAACAGTAAGTGATATGTTTTCAAAATGCCACTGCTCCGACAGGCTTTGACTAGCCTTGTTTGAACAGTGTGGTTAACACAAGTTGGCTTCTACATGTCTGTCACCAATTTAACATTTATTAAAGCATTGTTGTGACAGATTGTATGAGACTTCATTGAGGTAAAGGGTGTGAAATACTCACCTGTCACTTGAGATATATATATGAAGAGGAGTTGAGTTCATGTTTGGAGTAACTCATCTGAACCAG